GTACTCAGTTTTAAGCATGCGTGACCATTTTGTGAGTCATTTTCTGGCACGCATTGGCACGCTTCATAGAAATAGAATATATAAAGGAAAGGTATTGGGATATGGTCCATTCCGTCGGCAACTCTTCAAAATGATGAACTCCAGAGACCTTGAAGAAAGGAATCTTACTTTGCAAAACGTACATCTTACAGCCGCTGCTGGTCTACTACTTTTGGAAGAAGATGAAAGTGAACGAAACATTGTTCTACAATCAAAACCTGACACCGACAGAACGTCTGCCTGCAGTAAGAAAAGAAAAGTCAGGAGACTCTGGGTGAGGCAATGGTTGACAAGGGGACAATATTTTAGCCATTATGACCAGTTATTGTCGGAACTACACAAGGAAGATCGCGGTGGTTACCGGAACTTCCTAGGTATCACCCCCGAACTGTTTCAAGAGATGATTGAAAAGTTGACCCCACACCTGAAGAAGAATAAAACATTTATGAGAGAACCTCTTGAAGTTAGCCTAAACCCGATTCTTAGCCAGTGGCGATTCCTATGCAAGTCTCCAATAAAATTTCAGAGTTGAACTTAGCACTATATGCAAGTTTCTACCAGAAGTATGTAAAGCTATCGTCAAGGTTTTCAAGCCAGAAGTATTAGTTTGTCCTAGAACAGAAGACCAGTGGAAGACTATTGCTGAAGGGTTTAGTAGAAGATGGAATTACCACAACTGTCTTGGAGCCGTTGACGGCAAGCATGTTGCTATGAAGACCCCCCCCCCCCCGCCCTCGGGTGGATCCTTCTACTTTAACTACAAGAACTTTCATAGCATCGTGCTCCTTGCTGTGGTGGATGCTGGGTACCTTGATGTTGGAGCGGAAGGTGGCGCTTCTGATGGTGGAACATGGAGGCTCGGTACTGGGTCCAGGCTGAGGCTCGGTACTGGGTCCGGGCTGAGGCTTGGTAGTGGGCACAGGCTCATTGGTTGGTTTTAATCTTGTCCTGCTTGTCGACTCATTCATGGGTTTGGACACTCGTCCCCTCATCCTTGTTCCTTTAGGTGGCATTCTGAAATGAGATGGAAATCACATGAACCTGGTTATTTATACAAAACGTTGTGAAAACGTGGAGGCCTCTGATTGGTGCGGCGTCTGTGAGTGAAGCAAACCTGCCAATGAGTATATGAGAGTAAACTATGAGCACCGGTGAGTAAATTATGAGCACCAGTGAGTACACTGTGAGGATCAATGAGTAAACTGTGAGCACCAATGAGTAACACGCGTCAAGTGGCGGGAAGAATTCCTGACCACTGGCAGATACCTACATCAACCCATGAGCACCATTGCTGATCTTGTCGTACCAGTGATAAACCTTGCGCACCAATGCGTGACATTGAGTACCCTTCAGTGCGTGACATAATTTCCATTGACACTTTTACGCATCGGGTACGCATAGTTTGTGCATAGTTTACGAAAATGGTACGCCCTGGAGTGCGTGGCATGAGCTTGGACAAATCCAAGGTTTTGGGTCGGCACTGTCACGCATGGCACGCAATGGTACGCCTAGCTTATGACTGTTTCCCGTGATGATACGTATAGTTTCCGTCTTGGTACGAACTTTAGCGTACCAAAGCGTACCACGAATGCGTGAAAGTGTCAATGGGGCATTATACCACCAGTGCGGAGACGTTCTTATCCGGATACACTGGCTGAACACTACTTCATGGACCGCAGATAAGTTATTTACTGTCAGTGCAGTTATATATAAAAAAAAATCATAATATTATGAAAAGATTATGGCTAGTAGGAAACCTATGTTAATAGTTTTAGACCACTGTATGTCTCAAAATCCAAGGTTACAAAGACCCGATTGTAGTAAAACCATGTTTTTTTCTGTTAAAATCATTATACCCTCTTGTAAGGGTTTCTTTTTCGGTCACCTTGTACAATACGTTGGGCGCTATTGGCAAAAACGCATTTTGATTAGCAAGACAAGACACCGAAGAAAGTGGTATGTAACACTACACGGACATAATATAATCTTTAAAAGGATATATATGCGGATGATTTTATTATATTCTCTTTAACACCAAGTGGACTCCAATCATCCCTTTATATTGTTGGCTCATATTGTAAACAATGGAGATTAATATTATGCTTTTTAATAAATCTAGCAAGACATGTTTCCAGACATTTTATATAAACAATGCTAAACTTGAAAATGTTATTGAATACAAATATATAGGTATTACAGTTCAGTCATCTAGTTCTCTTAGTAAAGGTGTTGAGTATTTAATTGATAAATCATTGAAGGCATACTTTAAGATTATAAAAGCTTTTTCTCAAATATCTGTTTCACCTCATATATTACCTTGTATGCATGTGATGCTTGGGGTGATTTTATTACTACAAACATTAATAACACCATAAAAATTGAAAAGGGAAGATACAATAAACCCTTCATTCCTCTTAATGAGAGATTATGTAAAAACTGCAACCTTCATTTAGTAGACGATGAAAAACATTTCTTATTGTATCGTCCATTTTATGATAATTTGAGACAACAATATATCTCACCATTTATCATAACTCATAAACCTGATTCAATTCAACTTAATATACTAATGAATAATGAAGAGTGTATAGAGAATGCTGGAAGTTTTGTATTGAATGCTTTTAAGAAAAGAGGAATATAAATATAGTTTTGTTAAGTGGTATGTAACATTATAAATATTGTCGATTACATCAAAATTAATATGTATCACACGTCTATGGTGGCCCATGGTCGCAATAGCGTTTTTTTGGGTATTTCATTTAAAATAATAAAAATATTAGTACAAAAAAAAAAAGAAACCTTTTTTTTTTTTTTTTACAAAATAAAAAAAAATAATCTTTTAAAATTTAAAAAAAAATAATCTTTTTAAAAAATTTAAAAAAAAAATCTTTTTAAAATTTAAAAAAAAAAAATCTTTTTAAAATGAAAAAAAAAAATCTATATATATATATATATATATATATATATATATATATAAAAATAATAAAATATATTTTAAAAAAATAAAAAAGAAATAATATTTAAAAAAAAATTAAATGAAAAAAAAAAAAAATTGAAAAAGAAAAGATAAAAAATAATTCCCGACGTGGCCCATCGTCGCAATAGTGTCTTGAGTATCCAGACCCAGTATACAGCTATCATTAGACTAGAGCGACCAGAAACATTTTGTGGCCCATTGTTGCAGTAGTATCTCGATTATTATGTGTGGGATCTATGAAGAACGTATAAACTCGAACGACAAGAAACGAGTCTGTAGTTATCTCACGTCAACATAATTGTAGATACTTCAATTTTGATTAGCTAAGCACTAAAATAAATCTCATATTATCTATTATCCAATCAAATACTAAAATTTGAATTTTATCTTAGTAAAACAGGCCCCAGACGAAGTCCACGTAGGCTATCATGCTCTATTATGTCTTTTAAATTGATGTTGTCCGCCATCGCACTTTCGCCATCGATTGTAACTTAAAATTTAATTTTAATAGACTTTAGTTAAAATTACTTGTGCCTCGATGTGAGGTAACTATAGACTGGTTTCTTGTCGCTCGAGTCTATACCATACGTTCTTCATAGATCCCACACAGGATAATCTGAACGACAGACCCACGATGTTTGACAGGTCACCCTACTCCTTGTCACGTACAACCGGGGATTCGAAATCACGCCAGTTGACTCAATGACGGGCTTTATGATATGACAGGCTTTATGATACAGCGCGCACGTGCTAACCATTCGCCCCCCCCCCCACCCCGGCTACTTAGTAGTAGTAGGCCTATACTTCGAGGATTAGTTTCAAAGTTGTTAACAACTTTTGAAATTCGACCTCAGGGAGACCAAGTGTTTTAAAAACATTACATAAGCCTTTTGAGGGGAGAATAGGCCTTGCGCACTAGTAGGCCGAATGGTGTCATTAAAGTCAGTGACTTCAAACGTCATTATGTATGTAGGCCTAGTTCTAGTTAGACTGGATAAACTAGTCTAAATGACGCTAGGCTTCTATAGTCTATTAATTATACATTTCTATTGACTTGCATATGTATAAATACATATATCCAAGTCCATAGACGTCATGGGTGGAAAAATTGTGTTTCACGTGTTGATGTCTGTTTACCTTTTTCCTTTCGGAAGGGGAGATAACTACAAACTCGTTTCTTGTCGCTCGAGTTATGCCACATAGGATAATCGAGACACTATAGCAACAATGGGCCACGAGGTATTTCTGGTTACTCGAGTCGAATGATAGCTGTCGTAGGCTGATTTTATACTGAGTCTGGATAATCAAGACACTATTACGACGATGGGCCACGTGCAGAATTCTTTTTTTGATTTTTTCTATTTCACTTATTTTTTTTTTTTTAATTAAAATGTTATTTTTTTTATAGATTTTTTTAATCTTAAATATTTTATTAATTTTTTTTATATAGATTTTTTTTTATTTTAAAAAGATTTTTTTTTTTTCTTAAATTTTAAAAAGATTTTTTTTTCTTTTTAATTTAAAAAGATTTTTTTTTTCTTTTTAATTTAAAAAGATTTTTTTTTTCTTTTTAATTTAAAAAGATTTTTTTTTTCTTTTTAATTTAAAAAGATTTTTTTTTTCTTAAATTTTAAAAAGATTTTTTTTTCTTTTGTTTTACAAAATAAAAAAAAATGTTTCTTTTTTTTTACTTTTATTTTTTATGATTTTAAATGAAATACAAAAAATAACCCCAAAAACGCTATTGCGACCATGGGCCACCATACACGTCTGGAAAATTAATGTTATTTTGTAAGATATTTAGTTAGATATTGTTATTGCATCACAATGTGAAATGTTTGTTGTAACTTCCATACGCATGCATGTGCATGTAATTGAGAATAAAACTATTATTATTATTATTATTATTATAAAACAGTCCTTGATATTGACCTTATCAATGTCACATGATCAATCGACTGGTTAATCGCGCGTCGTTCTCACATGATTGTGACAGTATTTACAAATAGCAACCCATGTGACCTTACTCTTGGCTAGTCAACCGGTAAAGTTATTGTGCAAGATATATAATATACTGATAGACGGATTAACGAGGACGAACTTCATTTTTAGAGCGATCGTAGTTGAATAACAACCTAGAAAATGTTGCGACTAGCATTACTATCAGTCTGTGCCTTGTATGTATTGAGCTACGCACCTTCGGTTAATTGTGGTTGCTGCACGCCTGAACAATGGGAGGGCACCGAAGGATTAATTGGAGGTTACTATCGGTGGGGTAGACCATCACTCATTTCCGTAAGTTTTTGAGGGCAGTTAAGAGCCCAGTTAACATTGATGGTTAGATTTACGTAAAGTTTACGTCATTATGGTTAGATTTTGGTTAGCGTCCAATAATGGTAAAATTCTTTGGTTAAATTTACGTTACTTTTACGTCATAATGGTTATGGTTACTTTTACGTCAGAAAATGACGTAAATGTAACGTAAACTTTATGACGGATTACTAACCAAGTTTTTTCCCTTTGAATACTTCTTGATTAAATAACATTACAAGTGTGTGCACATTCTAACAATTGATATATAGTCGGAATTCAGACATAATAATTATATATGTATTATTGGTTATAATTCTAACGTTAATCTAACGTAAATTTTACATCAGGTTTCTAATCGTTAGTTTATGGTTAGTTTTCTGACGTAAATCTAACGTTAGTTTTCTGACGTAAATCTAACGTTAGTTTTCTGACGTAAATCTAACGTTAGTGTTAGTTTTATGTCATAATTTTAACCGTTAATTTAACGTTAGTTTTCTAACGTAAATCTAATGTTAATTTTATAACATAAATCTAACTTTAGTTTTCTAACATAAATCTAACGTTAGTTTTCTAACATAAACCTGATATTAGTTGTAAAACGTAAAACAAATGTCAGTTTAATGTCATGATACTAACAATTAAGGGCCTGACAAGACAGCTGTCTAGTCATTAAAATGGGTAAGACCCTGGCTCGCTAGCCTGGAGGTCGGGTGTTCGATCCCTGCATTGGCCGAGAAAGTTCATCCAGATTTCCGGCGTGGTTTCCCCTTGTCAGTGATGCAGGACGGAGGTCCCGTGTACACATTGGCATGCATGTAAAAGATCCCTTGACAGTTGGAATTCGATATAAGAGTAGGCCGTAGTGCCACTGTCGGGGCAAAATTTCCCTCATAACACACTGTATGGTGTATGGCCATCTTCATTAGCCCAGTTCGGAGCAGAACAGTTGGACGTTAAACCCCATTTCATTTCATTACATTTTGTATCCATTTCTAAGTGCCCAAGAATAGAGATCTAGCTCCTTTAATAGTTGCGGTCTGTAGGTGACACACAAAGAGAAACTGAATGAATGAATGATCTACTCTCATTTCAAATTCCAAATGTCAAGGGTTCTTTTACGTGCACACCCACGTGATGGACTAGACACTGTTTTTTTAGGTCCTCTGTCCTACACCACTACTAACAAAGGGAACTTTCTCGACCAACATGGGGATCACGTTGGCTAAGTGGGTAAGACGCTGACTCGCTAGCCTGGAGGTCGGGTGTTCGATCCCTGCATTGGCTGAGAAAGTTCATCCAGATTTTCCGTTTAGCCTAGGAATCCCTCGAAACAAATTTTACTAATATAACCCAATTTTTATCACGAAGACATTATATCTGGAACCTGTGAAGATACCTTGTAAAGATTTTTAGACACATTAATTTATTGTAGTAGAATATTTATTTTTTTAACGGGGGGGGGGGGGGGGGATTTGACTTATATAATTAGTTTTTGGTGTAAATCCTTATTCGGAGCACATTTCAAATGTGCTATGCCTATTACTGTCATATGAATATATTGGGGGGGGGGGGAGGTACCGAGGCCTGTTTTTATACACTCAAATAGACACGTGATCGCCTATTGTCATTAAAATGGCTTACCCGTCCATTCCCCCTTTGTCTTCACTACATTTAGCATCCGATCTTTTTAAAGTTGATTTTAAATCTTGTTAACATTGGTGAGACGACGAAAGCTATGAATTTAAGCAACCGTTAATCACTTCTGGAGCTATGGCCCTTGTTTCACTTTGTGGAACCCTGTGAATGTTCCGACAACAAATATTATCAGATTTATATGCAGCGCATTGTTTAAATCCGTGACAGGAAATGGAATGAAATGAAATGGGGTTTAACGTCCTACTGTTCTGCTCCGAGCTGGGCTAATGAAGACAGGCTCAAGCGATACAGTGTGCTATGAGGCAAGTGGTCCGGACAACGACACTACGGCCTACTCTTATAACGAATTCCAAGGGATCTTTTACGTGCACGCAAATGTGTACACGGGACTTCGATTTTTTGTCCCATTCGAATGACAAGACAGCTGTCCTTGTCAGGCCACGCATATTGGATTTCAACAAATTCCGTTTATTACTTTTGACCCTTGTTTCACTCTGTAGAACACTGTGAACGCTCTAACGATAAACGATATGAAATGTGTATACGTTTACATTACTTGATTCAATAAAGCGAAAAGTTATGGCCCTTGTTTGACTTCATGAAATCCAATGAACGCTTCAACGACAAATGTTATCGGATCTATAAGAAATTTATATTTAGGGTTGACATTTATAGTGAGACGACAAATCATATTGAATTTCAACAATTTCCGTTATTCACCGTCTAAAGATTTCGACCCTCCGGACGATCAAGATCCTAAGGGTGTTGTATGTTTCGCTGACTATCTTTACAGGATTTTATGCAGACAATAATTTTACAATGTGTGTCTACATTCATGAACATACTTGGCCCATTCATTTAAATGATAATAAATTTTAACCTGAATAGCATTTAGCCCATATAGGATATGTCATGAATGTGATAGTATATTAATTATATTAAACTCATCTTTAGCGCTATTTATAATAAGAAATAAAATGAAATGGGGTTTAACGTCCTACTTTTCTGCTCCAGCTAGTTAATAATAAGAAAATACAAAGATATACCCAACAGTTAGAACATATTCCAACATACAGCAGTTGAGAGATAATATTGTGAAGATCTTGCCGGGTACTCTGCTGAGTAGCTAGCCCCATTGTTATTCCAGGTATATTGTTTATAAGGCATTTAGTGATAGGACTAACATTGAAAAAACACAACACAACTTTATGGATAACAATCACTAGCAACTTTAATAGTGCAACGTTTCAACAAGTGTCCTCTTGTCGTTATCAAGCACAGGGTAAAAACGATAATATGATACAAAAACCGTTCGTTCTTGGTGTTTAACGTCTGCTTCCACATAAGTGATATCGCAGACAAGACATGGGAGAGCCGAAGCTGATTCCTGTTTTTTAGAATATGATTTTGCAATCTTTCCATTTGGCCTTAGGCCATGGATTTGGTTTAGTGGGAAGTTCTTCCCTTTATTTAATATAAAACATATCGTTTGGTAGATGATCTCGTCTGCTTCTGGATTGGTAGATGTCATCGTTTGGGGTTAGTGTTTAGGTGCCAGGCCCGTCTTATTGTGGCCCCCCCTTACTCCACTATCCCACTCTCTGGGTTTGGTATCAGTTTTATTTGCGGAATAGTGTTTAGGTGCCAAGTTCGTCTGACCGTAACTCCCCCTTACTCCACTATCCTGCTAGTTTGGTAGATGTCATCTTTGTGGGGTTTGTGTTTAGGTGCCAGGCCCGTCTTATCATGACCTCCCCTTACTCCACTATCCCACTCTGTAGGTTTGGTGTCTGTTTTTGGTGGAATAGTGTTTAGATGCCGAGTCCGTCTGATCGTGACTCCCCCTTACTCCACTATCCTGCCAGTTTGGTATAAATCCCCTATGTAGTTTAGTGTTTAGATGCCGGGCCCGTCTAACCGTGACCCCCTCTTACTTCACTATTCTACTTAGTCCAACTGTGTCCATTAGGGCGTGGATTTGTTCGAAGATTTGCAGTTTCAGATCTGGTCTCGGGAAGAGTAGGTTCTTAGTGTTGAATGGTATGTTGTTGGACTCCATTGTTCTCACTAGTTCCCTTCTCTCCTCCTTGTATACCTCGCAGTCTACCAGGACAGGGTTGGTGGTACATTCTTCTCCGCACTCACAGATGATGACTTGGTGTTTGTAGTCTCGCAGCCGCTCTTTCACCCTTAGCTTCGATATAAGTCTACAAATATCTCTTCTAGGGTGATTGAGTGTTGTCTTTGTGTAGATCTTGTCATCCAGCCGGAATCTGTATGTGTCAAGTTCAACGAGATTTAATTCCCAGATTGAATTGACGTGTCTTTTGACCATACTGTAGATTTCCGTGGTGCTGTAATCTATGGTGCGGAGTGGTGCTGTGTCCTTGAGACCTTCATTGGCGAGTCGATCTGCCTCCTCGTTTCCTCTAATGTTGACATGTGATGGAATCCACACGAGTTCTACTTTGCTTCCCTTCTCTAAAACCCTCTGGTACAGCTGCCTGATTTCCAAAATAACTTCTGGTCTTGAGTCCGAGTTGTCATTTTGGATTGAAATCAGACTGCTTAGAGAGTCGCTTGGAATGACGAACTTATTAGTCTTTTGATGGGAAATCCATGATATAGTGTCACGAATGGCCACAAGCTCTGCAGTGTACACCGAACAGTTATTGGGCAGTTTCCTGCTTATTCCCTGTTCCCCGTTTGGCAGGTATATTCCAAACGAGCTGGTGCCCCTTTCAGGATTGCGTGAGCCATCTGTGTACACATGGTCCCAGTCATCAGACGGCCAGTTGTCTTCCAGGTGTTCTAGAGAGAAAGCACAAAGAAGCAGTGGGGTTGTTTTTCTTGTCGGTTTTCTGTAGTAGATCTAAATAACCGGCGGTATAGGGAGCGTCCAAGGGGCGATCACTTGGGGGTCGTGTTCATTTATCACGAGCTCCCCCAGTCGCAGTTCCTTGATTGTTTCCCTGATACCCTGGCCGAAGCTTTTCTTTCTAGGATCTCTCACATATCTTGTATTTTGTAGACTGACAAAGGTTGGGGATCTTTCGCCCAGTTGCGAGATCTTAGCCCAGTACCTTGTCGCTAGTTCTTTTCTTCTTAGGGATAGGGGCAACTCCCCGACTTCCTGCAGTAGTGCCTCTCTCCCAGTCCCTTGCCCTACGCCAGTCGCAATACACAGAGCTTTGTATTGGATGGTGTCAAGCTTCCTTAAGAGTAATGGCGCGCAGTTCATGAAGGCCAGAGAGCCGTAGTCTAATACAGATCGTATTAGAGCATGATACACCATCATTAGTGTGACTCTGTTGGCCCCCCCAAGAACTGCCCGTTATTTTCCTCATTAAGTTTAGGATTTTGGTGCATCTATCTACAGTCGCGTCGATGTGCGGTTTCCAGGTCAGCCTTCGGTCAAAGATTACGCCAAGGAACTTGGTTTGGTCTTTAAACTCGATGGTTTTCCCGTTCATACACAGAGTCATTCTGCTTATCCCTGCTTACAAGCATGCCGATTGTTTTCTTCTCCGAGATTTTGAATCCCCAATCCCCAACCGCGACGATGGATGTATATTCATAGAGCATATGACATTTTGATTAACTAACTGTACCTAAGTGAACATATAAATTGTAGTTAAATGCTGTGTGTTTTGGTGGGGGTGGGGATTTTTTGGTTTTTACTATTTGATATTCACAATACCTTTGCCATAATTATTAGCCATGTGTTAAAATGAAGCCTTATGTTTTTCTAGCTTATACTAAATATGTTTTCTTTAACCATCTAGATCTTAACCAATTAGTTTGTGTAATGGCTTCCTAATTATCTAAGTATTAAGTATTGTAAACATAACTCCAATTTGTCTTTGATTTTTTTATATTTAAACAGAATAGTATTTCTTGTCTTTGTGGCTTCTTCTAAATTTTTATACTTAAATGCTTACTCCCAGGTTTTTGTATCATATTATCGTTTTTACCCTGTGCTTGATAACGACAAGAGGACACTTGTTGAAACGTTGCACTATTAAAGTTCCTAGTGATTGTTATCCATAAAGTTGTGTTGTGTTTTTTCAATGTTATTCCAGGTGTTAGAATGTGGGATTAATCTGAAGTTTTGATGTCTAAACACGACTCATAGTCAGATGGACCTACAAATCTAAAGATTGCTTGACCTGTTCTCACGATTGCCGATAAATGTGATTTTCAATTGATACCTAGAGTTTATTTTAAAAAAAAACAAAACAAACTTGTCCTGTAAATCTATATCCTGATTTAACACCCCCCCCCCCCCCCCCGATTCGATGAACCAACCATTTTTTCATTTTTCAGGCAATGTAATACTTTTTTAGGACAGAAACATTAGAGAATGCGACCGATGTAGATCGAATTGGGTGGGGATATGAAACGACCCAACATTTCGAAATTAATTATTTTACATATTTATTGTCCTATTGTTTATGCCTGTATCATTAAAACATGCTGTAGAGGATCAAACTTAATCACTCTTTCAATAAAAATATGTTAACTTGCCAAGAAGTCACCTTTGTTCTGTGTGACCCCGAAGGTCTTGTTTGCTTTATAACAGCATGCGCTTGCACATCACTGTATGTAACAGTTAAAGTCATTACCGTCGGGAGTTATGACCCTTGGTCAACTTTGAAAAAAGAAATTGTGGGCGCCTTAGGTTGACTTGAAATTTATACATAGTATTCATTTGCATGAGCCGATTACAAGTAAAGGTTTTGTTAGCACCAGGAAGAGGCTCGTAATGTCTGGTGAATGCTTCCATTACCTATAAAGGAATAAATATTCAACACTTTACCTGTTGACTGTTCATTTATACCACCTTGCTTGTACGACAAGATAAAATCAATTGTTTATTTACAGGGTGGTTCCAGGGTGGCTTATGACGGAATGGGAAAACGAGTTGCAGCTGTAAGCAACATACAGACAAAGCGAGGACGGTATGCTGTGCGAGTCATTGAAAATTACTCAGAGGTATAAAATATATTTTGAAGATACATTATGGGAGATTAGATAAAGAGCTGACAGTTCTCACTATAATTGTTAAAAACTAGATAATATAAAGGGGATTTGCTGAAAATTGCAGTCAAATTGATCCACTCAGAACAAAGATGTTAGCGATTGAATTTTCGGCTTAGCCTCAATCATCATTACTAAAGTCGGTACGATAAAAAACATGGTCTCGATTATTCAGTTCATGATTAAATCATGAATGAAGGTTGAGCAGCAAATAGGATCCTAATCTAGTAAATATCGCAGGCTAGCGTTGACATCGAGAGTTGGTTATGGTCTGTATCAGTTAATTAATGTCTAATTAATAATTTAGATAACATTTCAGGCCTAAAGAAAAACCTGCAATAGGCAGATTTAGCTCTTGCATAATGTATGTTTAAGGATTATCGACTGCGGTCACGTTGATAACTTTAAATGTTCACCTTGTTTAAAAAAAAAATTTTTTAATATACCTTAATTTAATTTGTGAGACGTGTTTCATATTGGGAAGATATATGTGTTTTAGCACTCGCTTTCCTTAAATCAAAACGTTTTTTAATGGAAACACATGTTCTTAATTATGATTGCATTTTATCAATTCTAACACAATATATACCATTTGCTGTACGTTATAAATCCTGTCAACTATTTCTATTGATTTATTTCAACCCAAGCTGTCATCTTTTCGCATCTGATGTACATAGATCGATATTAGGCTGATTTTTACATCAATCCATGCCCAATACCGTGCACGTTTTTAGTCCAACCCCATCTGATCAAAGGCCTATTTTGTCACTTCTGTCCGGCCTAAACGATTGGCCATGTTTGTCCCCCATCTTTCGAATATTGCAGCGGAGTATTAAAATTATTCTGGCTGTCCATCCTTCTGTCTGTCACACTTTTGGGGACACAATATATCTCCTCTAATTGAGTTTAAACGTGTTTGTAAGGTGAATGCCTCGGAGTTAGAAGATGAGCATTTTCTTTTTAGGCTAAGCAGAGATAAGCAATTTGATTGGTTGATGCTTTAGAGCACGATAACTTTAGTTCTTATGAAGTTAGAGTGATGAAACTTGGTGTCTAAGCCTGATGAGCATTTTTGGCTCAGGGTAAGCAGCGCTACATGAGGTTTATTAGTCGAGAACTTTGATTCTAATTGAGTGATGGCGGTGACACTTTGTGTATAGTTTCTTTACGTCGATACCTTAAGAAAGGTTAATACTAGGCATTTTCTGCGTAGGCAAATTGGAGACTTCAATCTGATTGGTCGACACTTTAGAACACAAATCACTCTCCTTCTAATTGAGGTAAAATGTTTAAACTTGGTGTAGGTGTATATTAGGCGAATGCCTGACAGAGTGCGATCACGCACATTTTGGATCTTATTAATGCTCGATATAATCTGAGCAAGACCTTACGGTCTGCTCCCCAGTCAGTGTTTGATAAGACTCTCAATATGCTGAGGGCTTTCAGATGTTTCTTCTTGAGGGTTTTGGGGTGGAATGTTTAAATTTTATGTAGATGTTCATTAGGCGAATTTCTTGGCCGAGTTTCGTTGCCAGGCAACCTGTCCTTTAAGCACATTAATTTATTTCAGTAATTATTCTTTTCAGCGCACTTTGTACATGATCAATCTTTCAAAAAAAAAATGCAGAAAACTACCCTTAAAAAGAGAGTTCCGTAAAGCTTGTATTCCAGGTGAGCCACGTATTATGTTAAATCTGAATGATATTTTATTGTGTATGATTAAATATCTCTAGTAAATGCTATTCACCTGTACATCAGTTCTATATAATACAAGGTCTCATAACAATAAATTAATAATGAAATAGACAAAGGTGATGTGTTTGTCACAGTTACCATCAAAAATAAAAGGCAATTGTAAAGACTTCAATTGTTCATTTAGTAATACTATGGTTATTAGTTTGATATCATCCAATTGTACCTTTTAGTAAATTGATATCCTCGACATTTAACTCTTTAAGCTTATAACTGGATTGAGAGCATGTACCTTGGAAAAAATCGTAAATGGTTTTATAAGTTTTTATGGTTACAGCGTCTCACTTGAGGGGCCCGTGTGTCGCGTTAAGGCTTTTTAGTATAGCAAGTAGTGGGCCTTTTGCTGGAAAGAAATGACCCACTGCATTGTAAAACTAAAAATAGAGGCAGTGAATGAAAATCACACGATTTTAGTATTATTTGTGAGCTGTAAAGTTGTATGTATAGGCAAACATCACACTTGTAACACAAAGCATATTGCAGCTACATCCCAAAACTCCTCTAAGGTATGCCGAAATTTAAAAAAAAAACAAAAAAAATAAATTCCTTGCACCTTGTGGGACAGCCCCTCCCCCTCCTTCCTGTGCTATAGATTCCTTAACATGCCCTGTGTCACATATTGTTGTACTTTTGTATTTATGCAGCCTTAATACTAAAGAGTTTTATTACCATTTGTTACTGAATATTTCATTGTACTTTCTAATTAACTATTTGATTCATGTATTTAAAGATGATGCCAAATTGGTGGCAGAAACATACATAGGTGCAGGAGACAACACATTGGGCACATCCAGCTATGCTTTAAGAATGGTCGACAAGAAAAAGCGAGTTCTGTTGGATGCCTTCGTTAGTGTTACTACAGACGGCTGCATCCCAATAAGTGAAACACTAACAGGAAGTGTTAAGAGAGGTCAGTATTTTAATGCTTTAAGAGAATGTAGAACCGATTTCTTGTGAATACTCCACAGACCACAAAATGAATGTCTTGTAAATAACTTCCAGCATTATTGCTTTTGATCAATCAGTAGAACCCTGTGAACTCTATTCATGGTAAATGCCTGTGTTTGCCTGATTAAAGTGCTACATTTGGGTTATTTAAAACCTAAAGTTATTTGAAAGCCGTTGAACATGTTGATGTACCGGAAACCCACATTTTATTTCTTTTTTTAATTTCAACATTGGGATGAGTCACTTTTTTAATTTCTACATTGGGATAAGTGACTATCTGTGTGAACATCTCAACTCTTTAATCGGATTCAGTGTAGTTGAAATAAATATGCAGGCCTATAAGAAAAGTATGAAAATCAAAACCAATGTGCACTCATTTAATCGCAAACAATTAGACATGCACAATATACCAAAAATTAGAAAGGTGTGCTTAAGTTCCATATTGGAAAATTCCCTGTCTTTAATTTTTTTATTTATTAAAAGATCCTGCTTATCAACAATTATTGTTATAAGTGTTTGGGTTAATTTATATATACTCTTCAAAAAAAATGTAGGGGATATTCAGAAACAATACAAAACTGCGGAAATGCACTGCTGTTTTTATTAGAGGTAATCAGTGTATGTAAATAACAGGCCAATTGCCTACGCATGAACAAAAACAGCTCATATGGGCGGCTTATCTGACGGCCCCATTTCACTCGCAACGAGATGCACAAAAACGTCAATTTTCACTTTTTACAGTGTATCTCGTTGCGAGTGAAATAGGGTCGTTGATTGGGCGGTTGATTAGGATCATGCCACAACAAATTGCTGAATGTAATTGCTCCACCAATCCTCAGACATTCAGCAATTCGTCGTGACATGCTCCTAATCAACCGTCCAATCACGATTTGGGGCACTAGTGTTACGGCCAATTCTTGCAGTGTTGTCGGTTGACGTTGATGTCGACGAACACGTCTCCCGATCAAATTAAATTTAACACACTAAAGCAAAGATACGCTAAACGGTAAATCTTATGCAAGAACCGATAGGACAGCAAACATGGATAGATAAACCAGCACGCGGAAGTTTTCATCAACTCTTCCTTGAAGTGTCAAATTTGACAAGGACCCCCTCCCACGTGTATGGCGCTATTGCGTGTCGCATGTGCAGCTCATTGGTTCTGTTGGGGCAGCAAGTTCTTGATCTGTGAACATACTTTCAAAGCATGTCAAATGTCCATGACTATTTATCATATCTCAACCTGCATAGGTATTTGCATTTCTATATCCCTTACTTTTTTTGAATTTATTATTTAAATAGATGTAATGTTTGTTTTAGTCTCTTTCTTGGATATCATCGGTTTTGTTAACGTAACGGCCGGAATTGAAGACGAAAAGGTGTTCGATCCACCAAGCTACTGTGATGACGAGGCTGTAAGTACAATATATTCTATTAAGAGATTAGGTTTTATCTCCCTTCAACTGTATTGGTACAGTTCCATTATCATCTGTTTCACAGAGGTAATGCGAACGCCGTCTTCTAACTCTGTGGGGTGGGGGTGAAGATGGCCGAATGGTTAGCGCGAGCGCGCTGTATCACAGGGTCCTTCATTGAGTCAACTGGCGTGGTTTCGATTCCCCGGTTGTAGGGGCGCCTGTCCATCCTCGTGGGTTTTCTCCCAGTTCTCCGGTTTCCTCTAACTGCTAGAGACACCTATGCGCAAGCGAATTATTGAAATAAAAGTGAACCATATGTTAGTCCCGAAATGACCATGTTTGTGTAGAGTGGACGCTAAACCCCATTTCTCTCTCAAACTCTGTGTAAGATGACTGACCTTTATAGAATTCATGTGCATTCTACGGCATCGATGTCACACCCCACTCAATTGCGTGAAAACGGAGACATAAGCGGTCTGGAAAAATCCATTTGTAAATGCGGTCGGTTGGAACTGAACTCAATCATTTTTGATGGAATGTTTAGACATTCAGTGTATTTCGTAGTTTTCATCAGGTCTCTTTGGATCAAATTTCCCTACCTTTATGACCTGTTCTCAAAGAAATGTATTGCTAACCATGGAAGATCGCGTCCCCATTTTATACTCACATTATGATATGACGACTTTTTGGTTCCTTGAACTTAGTGTGCTGGCAGCCGCGGGTCAGTTGCACACGATTGCAGTCGACATAAGCCCTTTGAGATTCCTGCTGCCCATAGCTGAATATACTTGCAACTAAACGTGCACCGGTGACATAAACGATAGGTATTTCCAGTTGAACACAGTCGCATCGGATAAAGCCCATTTGATTTAGACACAATTGATTACATGGTATTACTCCAGAACCATAAAAAATGGTAGTGCATAGTAACTTTCTAGCTGGAAGAATTATTCTGCGATAACTTTTCATCCATCTACGGGTTTATTCAAATATATATTTTGACAAATATTATGTAGATTCATTTGATTTTGTTAAGAAAAATATTGTCTATTTGGGCTTCTACCTTTTCTGTTTCAAACTAAACCCACATACTGCATTAGTGAAATGTTTAAATATTATTATCTCCCTTTATTGTTAAAATTTTCGTCAAACTCTCATGTTAGGAAAAATGATCGTACAAGTTGAACTATAGATGATATTATTATTAGTATTATTATTATTAAATATAAACAATGATAATATGTAACATTAAAATGAATATTATCCAGGAAAGTGCTCAATACTTTAACTAATATTAAATCTAAATGAATTAAAATGGTGCCGAATGACAATAAGGCTAAATATATTGAGGGTAACCCTTATTAAGCCTACATAAACTAAATAAAATAGTGTCGCATGTCTTGAAATACTCTTTTTCCGTTACATTCAGTTTTTGTCACAATAAATATTGTAAATTTGGCTTTATATTCTTCATACACTTACAGCTACCATTTGCTGAATAAACAGGCTAATTTATTGACATTGCCACATGTTAAACCTAATTTTCTTTTCAGACGGATGATTTTGAGATTCAAGAAACACAGTTATACAGAGAGTTCAGAATTTTTGGAATGTGAGTCTTGAAAGAAATACAGTCTCCTACACATTACACATCTAACAGCTTATATATGTAGAATTGCCAGTGTACATGTGAGCTACGTGTTCTTTCCAATATAGATCTATTTTTTTTATATTTCATGCACGTATATATATTTTAGAAAGTATAGGCCTATTTGCATTTTATGTATATCAAATTAAATCTCACAATTTCAAGAATCATAAATAACCAGATCTGAGAAAATAGTAGGCTACTAAGCTTATTTTGTGCTCATAATTCCATTGTTGTACGTGTTTATTTTTTCTTTTGTACCTTAATATGTTCAGTGATAGTTCTCTTTTGTTTTCAAATAAAATATATTTTTAACAGTAGAATATTTACAATTTTTTAACTTGAAAATAACAAATAACACCACCCCATCTCATAATGTCAGATTATTTTGTGGGTCATACGGACCGAGGAGTGACGAACCTTTATCGTTAGTTGTGAATATGAGAAGCATACCCTCCCCCCCCCCCATCTATAATCTATTCACATGTAATAGGTTGCAAATGAATGAACCAGGAACATTTTAGGATTTCTTAGCTCGAATTTTATAAAGAGGTTGATATTTGGGTATTCAACTTAAAGAACATGGGCTTTAATAGTTACCTTCACACACTCTACTGGTTATGTTTCAAATGCATACAATGAAAATGGCAAAGATACAGTCACACAATAGTATTTATCAGGTACCGGTAATTATATCCAATAAAAATATGCCAACTGTGGTATATATAGAAAGTTAAGACATCCAATCATATTAGAAAAAAACTTGATTCCCTGAAACACCCATGGGGCATGCTCACGACAAAAGTGTGATTGTATCCAATAAAAGTCAACTTTTCTCCTCTTGTGAAGCACGGGGCGCTCTGCATCCTATAATATGTTCACCTAGTGGCTGTGTTTTGTGAGAACATTGAGAGAATAAAACATTCGGTAAACTGCGATTTAACGTCGGCTAAAGAAGTTGGCAGTGGATAATCCAGGAATTTACGAAGACTTTAATATTTTTGAGTACCTGAACATCAGCTAACGACAAATACAAGCTGGTAAGGATTCTACCTCCACCAAATCACGTGATTAAAACGGGTCATATATAGTTTTCTTCCGATTAAAATGCCTTACCAGCTTCTATGGATTCTACCTCCACTAAATCACGTGATTAAAGCGGGTCATATAAATATTATTCTTTCGATAAAAATGTTTTGAGGCGGATTTGAAGCAAACTTTAGACATATAAATTAGCTCGATAATGTTTTTAGTCCAAATACATCATCAAATCACTCGGTTTGTACTCGGGAAGGCGTCTTTAAACGTACATTATGCAAGAGTTAAATCTAGATGTTGAAGGCCTGAAATGTTATCTAAATTATTAGACATTAATTAACTTATCCGGACCATAATCAACCCTCGATGCCATCACTAGCCAGTGGATTGGAATACATTTTATGAAGGATAATTAAATGTAGAAATGGATAACCGAGACTTTGTTTTTTATCGTACCGATGATCGAAGCTAGTCTCAAATTCAAACGCTAATATCTCGGTTCAGAGTGGAGCAATTTGACTGTAACTTTTAGCATATTTTATTTAAGTTGTCTATTTTTGAAATAGTATAGCGAGAACTTTCAACTCTGTATCTAATCTCCCATAATGCCCCTTTAAGTCATGTTAATTTGTGAGGCATTATTGTCATCCAAATATTTGTACCATGATGTCAATAGGTAACATTATTGCCAGCATGCAATCCACCTTTTCTATTTACAATTAAGCACAGTTTACTGAAATAAAGATTGAAATTCCAGATATATCTCAGTGAATAATTGTGGTTAATTACGACACCTCGAACCTGTTCAAACTGGCCCTAAAAGAAAATAATCCTACATATATTTCAGTGAATAAAACGTATTAATTCTATATGAAAGACTTGGTTATTGGCTTTTCATGTGAATAATTTATGTCTAAATAATATAATTTATATTAATTTTAGTCAGAAAAAGGCCCGCAATATAAGTCACTATTTCAAAATTATAAACAATTTGTATTCAATTTTTATTGTTTTAATGCAACAAACAACTCATAAGCTACCTACGATGAGAATTTAACTTTGTAAGTCCAGATTTATTCCAGTAACAGCTGGAGAAGATAGCACATGAATACCTCGCACAAAAGACTGCTTGTAGCGATAGAAAAACAGATTTAATAATATTTACAAACATGTTCATAAAACCCCCTAATTGTTCAGTTTTTGTGTGGATTGTTTCCTTTTTGTTTCACAATAAAAGCAATTGTTGAACAGGCGATACCACTTATAGTATTTTCTATTGAGTGCACATACATGTGTTTTCATTGTACGCTTATTTTTTTTAATGATCCCATAATTTGCTCCATTCTTATACAATATCAAATTTTGTACAAGGAAAACAAGATAAACTCATCCAACCACAGCACAACATAGTTCTATGGATAAAAATCACTATATACATGTACGCACGATGTTTCGACAAGATTCTCTAGCCGTGTGTATAATATAGTGATAATCAAAATGTTGTTTACATGAAGAGCTTAATAAAATAAGCAAAAGTGCTAGTAATCGACACATATTGTATGACGTCATAATCATTATTGCGTTATCTTTATCTTTTAACCATTGTATATATTTGTCTGAAGAGCATTAGCGAAAGTACTTACAAATATAATGTAATTCTTTAGTCCATATTTTATTTCTTTATTTTTATTTTTTTCGTTGTGTATTTATTACCTAAGAGCAGTCAACTTTAACCTTTTTTTGTATTTAATATGCTCTTAAGGCTGGCAAAGGAACGAAACAACAAATTGATGATCTAACAAAAATTGTCAATTACCTAGCTGGTAAAGTAGGGATTCTCATCAACAAGCAGGATCAAACATTTTCGTTGGTGCAAGATGTATATACGCTTGCAAAAATATCCATTGAAAGTCCAACAGGTGAGAAGATCGTATTTTCTATTGTCAACAAACGCGACGAGATTATGCGACACATCCGTCCAGCTGAAAGGTCTATTACAACAGATCAGCTCCATTCAGATTCGGCAGAAGTGGATATGATCAAACGTAAAATTCCCAAAGTTTGGAATGCAAAAAAGTTTAATCGAGAGGAATGGTTTACTAAACACCATCATAATAACACACAGGTCAACATTTACGATGAATGGATAAAAAGGGAGGACCCACTTCTTCCTCTAAAGTATCGTATAAAACCCGTAAGTGATCAATCTGAGGACATAATTCAGCTCAGATTTAAACTTGCCATCCACCAGTTCAACACACAGATCGGGTCTATGAAAATAAATGCTGCAACTTTTGAGGAGTGGCAGACCGTGGATAAATGTACGAACGAGCTTTCCTCGAAAACGCCTGCAATGAAATTACCCTTGAACAGCTAAACGAAAAATGGCGATCAGAATGCTAAGTGGATGAAACACTAGCAATTAAAGAATGGGGTGCAAAGCAGGAATGGTTTGACGGTTATCAGGTAAAATATGGGAAAGATAAATTTAAAATCCCAAAAGAATCATCACAAGATAACCACTCTAAACCAGAAACAAGTTATGGTCAAAAACGTCAGAGGAAGAAACAACAAATTACAACTTGAAGCTCTGAAACGGTTGAAGATAATTCGGAAATAATTATTAAAATAGCTGACAAAGGGGGAGCAATAGTGGTTATGGATAGCTTGTTTTATCAGGAAACATATTGAAAATGCTATCAAATAATGAATATTATGTAGAATCTTCCCCAATAGCTAATGATATGATTCTACGCAAAGTCCAAAATTGTGTCATTGAACATGTTAACATGCTACCAAAAGAGGAAGAAGATTATCTATGTAAATTTCAACCATCGACTGCCTACTTTTATGGGTTACCGAAAATCCATAAGAGTGTGGCTATTAAGAAAGCTGTTGAAATGTCAGAAGGTGAGTTGTGATTATACCAAATCCTAACGATTTAACATTTAGGCCAATTGTAGGGGGGGGGGGGGGATAGTAGTACCCAACGCTTAAGTAACGCCATCGACATCATTGTAAAACCATTTTGCAAATGAAATGGAGTTTAACGTCCTACTGTTCTGCTCCTATACTGGGCTAATGAAGACCAAGTAAAAAGCTTCATAAAATGTGTCAGTCAGTCAGTTTTTTTCGACACTGATTAAGGATATTGGACGGGTCGATTTCACTAGAAAAATGCCTTAATATCAAGGGAGATTACAGAGAATACAACAAGGTCGCTGCTTCTATAAGTGTAATTCTAATAAAATCATTCATTTTACATAACAACATACTTAAAACCTGTCTAGCCTGCTGTCTTAATAATGATCATGAACAGGCTAGTGTATAGCTAAGATTAAGAATGAAAAAAACATATTTTGAAATAAAGGTTGAGAACTTAAAAAGTTGCAGAAATATTAAGAATGAATGCTTAAATAATTTGAACTAGCTCAGAATTGTCAGGGAAAAGCCCATATGGACGAAATAAAATTTTGCATCTACAATGTATAAGCTTACAATAGATATATGAATTCAAATAACACTTGACTGTAATTAAAAGCTGTCAAATTTCATTCTCATATAGAAAAATGTTTTTTTTCTTCAATTGCGAATGAACCAGATGACACCCCCCCCCCATCAATATGGGGCTCACCTACGACATAGTGTACATGTAATCATCGATAAAAGTGCCAAACTCATTTTCAATGTTCGAATCTTGCTTCTGATTAATAAATATTCTGATTTATTTAAACAATTATAACAGATACTGTACATGTAGTCGATCAAATCCAAAACTAATTACTTTTGATTTGAAAAATATTTTTGATCACCTAAGATAAATAAAATACAATTAAATAGAGGATTTACACTAAGAGTAAGACACTAACTCATTTAGTAGTTAGAATAAGGCTACCGGTATTTGTTTCACTGGACTTATCAAAGCAGCAAAAGTGTGATTGGTGCTTTAAATAAAATAATAAAAATGCTGTTTTTATTTCGCACTGGACTAAATTGTCCCTCTTTTGTGTGGCCCCCGCTCGAACATACTTCGCTTTTTTCTTGCAAATTATACAGATTTCTGATAAAACTGACTTATTTAACTCTGATGAAGTAGTAACAAGTACTGCACCATGATGTGATTCCTTTGGTGAGATTAATTAAGGAGTAGGGGTGAATGAGACACACTTTTAATTTTTAAAGTTGTTAAGTACTATGCCTAGTAGTAGGGGTTATGGACATAAAGGCCCTAAACCAAAATGGCTTAAGTATTTGGTCATAACGGTCAAACATTTTGGTCATAACT